TGATGATGATGATGATGATGATGATTCGCATCATGGATGTGCAGCCGACAAATCTGCGGCAACTGTGTGATGCCATCATGTCAATATGGACCAAAATCTCTGAGGAATGCTTCCAGCACCTTGTTGAATCTACGCCATGAAGATTTGAGGCAGTTCTGAAGGCAAAAGGGGGTCCAACCCGTTTCTAGCGTGGTGTACCTAATAAAGTGGCCGGTGAGTGTATGATGGTGCATTATTTATTGGAAAATATTCAAATCATTGTTTTCATGTAAAATAAGTCATCTTTTCAGTTTGTAAGTCCTACTTGGGTTTTGCACGGTTCTGGAGAAAAATCATCACCAGCTGCCTCCTGGTTTATTACCAAACTTAATAAACAAGATGCATCAATAATCATTATATAATTACATCACAGAACTCTGAATAATGATGAGTCAGCATCGACACAAAGTGATGAACGTTGAACAGGGTTAGGATGCTCTCAGTCCACCAACTACACCCGTCGATCTGCCCACTCAGGTGGAAGAAACCCTACTTTAAACCTGACAGGTGATTCTGCTGAGCTGAGCGTTTTCTCATAGCTACAAAATAAAGGAAGTTGTAATTAGAAGCGGTAGTGTCAAATTAAAGGTATTTGTATTTTTTAAATGTTTTAGATGAAGAAAGAGGGCTGATGTTGCAGCTCACAGTGGATCTGAGATCCACGAGGAAACTGATCCATGTGACTCTCTGGCAAATACAGGAAGTTTTTTTTATGTCTTCTGGAACAAAAATTATTTTTATTATGAGGTTTATTTAGTTAAAATGAGGAAGCTGCAACTTGTTTCAAAAACTCCCACAATCAATCATTCTCACAGGATCAACATCTCCTCATGGTTCCCCTCACTCACTTTGAGACCCGTGGTGACCGGTCCTTCTCCTCTGTGACCTCCAGGCTCTGGAATGAACTCTCTGTTAATCTGAGCTCCATTGATAACATTGTCTCCTTCAAGTCACTCCTAAAAACTCACTTTTTCTCTCAAGCGTTTAGCTAACCATTCACCATTACTGCCAGCCACAGTGAACGCTCACCATGTGTTTTTCTATTATTGAACATACGGCACATTTCTCTCTCCCCCATTCTCTATGGTTTTTGTATTATTTGTATATTTTGCTCTGCACTGACCTTGTGAGTTACAATTTTAGAATTTAATCTTGATTTGATGTTTCATTATGTTGCTTATGTTTTATTCAGTTTTATTTTATCTTTCCACCATTTTTACTTTGTTAATGATTGAACAGTACTTTGTGAATATATTTCTGTGAAAGGCTCTTTATAAATAAAACTTTACTTACTTACAATCTTAAAAGGCAAGCATTTCTTGAAGGAATGCATTTCACCCTCTGCTTTCCTAGTCGAAGAATGGGACTAAAAATAATTTGGTCAAACCTCAACAAAAAAAAACATATTACTGAATCTCATGCAAGATCACAAGATGTCACACTCGCAGTACGTGTTGGTGACCACTCTCAGCTACTACCACACCTGATTTTAACCAAATCAACAACTGTCAAATGTAATGTAAATGTAAAAATATGTCAATATGTCAGCTGTTTTAAAGCTATTTTTGTGTTTTTAAGGTCTGTTGATTGTAGCATCCATATTGAAGCTGGTTGACTCCAAAACAGAACTGTTCACATTGGTTCACAGATGTTTTCTAACAGAACAGCAGGTAAAAACATTACCCAGCTTCATTTTCCAGCAGCGGGTGATAAAAAACAGAGTAGACAGAATTAAAACACTCTGACTCTACCATTCTTTAGTTTCTCACCTCAATGTAGGTGTCGGTGAAACGCCTGTCAAATTCTCGTGTTGCTCCAAAGTCCAACAGCGCAACCTGAACACAGAACAGAGAAGTACAGAAACGTGTTGTTGCTTTGAGCTTACATCTATTCATCGGATGAGGATCGATAAAAAAACAAAAACAAAATGTAAAAGAACTGCAGGACATGTTTATCCACTAAATGTGTCGTTATGTTGTTGTTTACCTACAGACTACAGCTGTACATGCAGGACAACTTCCAGATTTTTTAGTAGATTCTGCCAAGTTTACGTTGAGTATGGACCACATTTCAGAATTTTTCATCATTGGCTGTGTCTCAATTCATGGGTCGCAGCCGACGACGGCTGCATTTGTCAGCTAAATACGTCTCTGCCCCGCGCCATAGGCTGTCCCAATTCGTAGGTGCCTACACATGCAGCCGACAAACCCCGAAGTCGTCAGCTGCATCCGAGTATCCTACATGGACGACGGTATCCCAGAATTCACTGCGCCGACAGAACATTAAACAGAAAAACAAAGATGGCAAAGTTTTTTATTTAAAGGCAGAGTTGGGAATTTTATCACGGACCGAAAAATGTAAGTTAAACAACTTAAGGCTGAGTCACACTACAAGATTTTAAAGCAGTCGGCCGATTTTCAAAGACTGATAGCGCCCACACGTGAGGATAAAACATCATGGATCTACCAGGTTTGGTCCTACAGTGTGTGGTGTACAGTCACACAGCAAGAGACAACACACCACACACGAAAAGATATTTCATTCATGAACATTCAGATGTCAGATATTAAATCACGCAAGACTTCCTGAAATCTCGCGAGAATTCATACGTTGGAGGAAAAATCTCACGTGACCTCCAGAGAGACGTGAGTTCAGAGTAAATAAACATTTGCAACAAGGAAGAAACAATGTTGACCGTTTGTGGACTATTTTTACCAGAGGAAAAACAGTTCCATAAGACTTTTAACATCCAGCAGACTTTCAGCTGAGTTATGACAGTTTTTGTTTACGTCACCTCTCTTTCTGATTGGCTACACGTCTCATTCAACAGGCTGAGAGCTCAGGTGAACACTACACACACTGTGATATCGGGCCAAAAAATCAAACATGTTGAATATCCCTGATTTGAGGTCGGAGCGGTCCCGACGTCCTTCCGAGCCGACTAGATCACTCTTAACTCGCCACCCATGGCGGGAAGATCTGCTCAGATTATCTTTAGAGACATCATGATAATCTGGACTTCCTTAAGATTGTTGGAAGGGAAAAAATCAGCCTGATTTTCTTGTAGTGTGACGTTGGCCTTAGCTGAAGAAAGTTTTGTTGCACTGAGATGTTAAATAAAATGCAGCTACAAGAACTGATACTGAAGCAAAACTCAAATTATTAATGCTTTTTATGTATTTACTTTTAATGTTTCTCTATTAAAACTGAATTTTATGGACTTTCGGTTATGGCGCTGAGGTGAGCAGACGCATTGAACCAGAGCTCCCAACTCGCTCGGCTAAATCCCCTTTGCCAGAGCTGAGTTAACCCACTAAGACTGACTATTTTATGAAAAAGGGAAAAGCATCAAAAAGTAACGGGAAATCAAAACAGACAGAAGAAACGGGCGAGAGAACTTCATTACTCGATGAGAGCACATCAGACCAGCACATGGCTATGGAAGGGCTTCAAGCTAGCATCGGAGCTATCCACAAAGAGATCGTAGCTATCCGTAAAGACATGAAGGAAGAGCTGTGCTGCTTTCATGATGACTTCACCGCCGACATGAAGAGAGATTTAAGAAAATTTTAAGAGGAGATTAATGGAAAACTAAATGAAGTTGTGTCAAAAGAGGTCGGAGGAGTCTTTACAACGTGTGGCAGAAATGGAGGAGTGGGCCGCAGCGGTGAAAGAGGTGCTGTCTCAAACTATTAACAACCAAGATAAAATTCAAGCCAAACTGACTGATCTAGAAGCACGCTCACGAAGAAATAATATCTGTGTGTACGAGATTACAGAAGATACAGAGGGAGATAATCTGCTGGAATTTATGGACGGTTTCATTAAGRCTGAGCTGTCACTCCAAGATATCGACCTGGCTATACAACGCTGCCAGCGGGCTTTGGGTCCCAAACCACCRCAGAACGCGAGCCCCCGCTCCGTGGTGATCTCTTTTCTGGCATTTAGAACCAGGGATTTGGTGCTTCGCACCGCGTGGAAGAAAAGAGAAATTCGCCTCAACCAGCAGCAGGTTTATTTCGATCAGGACTATCCTGCAGGGACTCAAAAGAAGAGGAAAGCTTACGCCCCATCAGAAAACTTCTGAAAGAAGAAGGTCTCTGCTTCCAAACCCCACCGCYGGCTAAGCTCCGTGTGTTTTTTGACGGTGGCCCGATCACGTATAGCACTGCGGCGGACGCCATGAAGGATCTGCAGAAGAGGGGTCTCACGCCTGACTGCACTCCTAGCTACGATGGTTCCCACACGGCAGTGCAGATGGAGAAGTTGGACAGACTGTCCYGGGTGACGAAGGAGGCCAAACGAAGTAACCCCRACKCACACGGAGAGMGAGCACGRAAAAAACTCAGCGGATTTCATCATGAGGCTGGAGACGCTGCCGCTTCTCCAAACGTGCCTCTCATTTAAACTCATGTGGTAAGATAAACAATCACAGTGATCTGATCCAGC